GCCAATAGCAAGAAAATTGCTCGCTAACGCTTGCTAATTAGCTGCTAGCTACTGTAGGCTACTGCAGGTTCCACTTAACCGGGAGGTTCAGAAACGTTAACAATTTACCTTTATTAGAAGTCGCACCAGTTTCTCATACAAATGCCCCTTCGTGTGCATAAAAAGCAAAATATCTTTTTTTTAAAAAATTGCTCGCTTTAGTTGTAGCTATCTGGATGTCTGCATCCACTGACAGCTCCTCTGTTTACTTTATTCAGTCACTTCCGGCTACATAGCGGAAGTTGTTGTTGAGGACGGCTAATGTCATTTTTAATGTCTACGAGTGGTCAGAAACACTGACCTTGCTTTATCAAATGGGGATAATGAATGAATTCAAACTGACTGTCTGTAGTGAAACATAATTTTTAACCAACACAAAGCCCATGTAATGTAATCCAAAAACCGTCTTCAACGTATTTAAACATGGGGTTTTACCGCCCTCTGGTGGTCACAGTGAGGAACTGCAAATGATTAAATTCGTAAAGCTACTGTAAATGTAGACCATACAGCCCTTTCCGGTAAGTACTTTTAAATAATAAAGGCCCAACCTAACGTTATCAGAAGTGACGTAACAGAACAAATAATAATGTACATAGTAAAATGTACTTTGGTGAACTGTCACGACAGGCAAGGTCTGGTTTTATGAGTGTAATGTGTCGCAATTTCACACTTACGCCACTGGAGAGCGGTAGATAGTCCATGCAGTAATGACAGCACACTCCCACATCCGGAAAATTCTTTCACAATAAAGTTACTAAACCGAAGCTACTCTCAAGTGGCCCATCGTCTCCATCTACCTAGCGTCAGTACATGCGGGAGACGCTAGCGGGACTGGGAATTTATCAACTACTGCAGGTTCGTTTTAGTTCTTAAAAGATAAAATTATTTACATGCTTGACGACAGTCGTATCAGATAGTGGCAACCAATGCTAGTTTTCAGTAGCCTCTTCTAACGATGCTAAAGTTATTTACACCCCATTCACATCGACACAAACGTATGATACACTACATTTAACCGACATATCCACCTTGCATGAAGTCAGTCGTTAGAATCATCAATATTTACCGCCCTCCAGTGGTTATTAGGTGGAATTGCAACATATTTAATCTGGTAGTAAAATTGCCGTAATTGTAGATATGACCACATACTAATACTTCCGGTTCTTATTCTCAAAATAAAGTGACCAAACTAAGGCCACAATCCAACAGAATCTCCCTTCATATATTACGGATATAGGACGGGCAGGGCGAGATTCAAGTGACGATGGAGGGAGCCAAAAGCCCTTTTTGGTAATCTTGCGAGACTGATGAAAGATGCCCATTAGCCCACTTAGCATGCTAATCGGCATCACCACAATAGAGAAAGCTGCTAGTACTATAGCAGCGCCACGTAACTCTCACTTCGACACTTCATTCTGTAGGGGTTGACGGAAGTTTATATTTATAATTAACGCCATTATCCCATGGTCATTTATGTTATTTTCTCCATACTTGCTTCAGTTTCTTTCCCGTAACTTTACTTTACCGGAAGTGTGTGCTCTTGTGCCTGCACTGACGGAAAATGACTAATTCGACTTGTTGCAGTTCCACACTCTTACCACAGGAGGGCAGTAAAACGTCGAAGACAGCAGTATCAGTGCGGATATTCAGTAATAATAATAATATCCGTTTCATTCTTACTTACAAACCTGGTGTTTAATTTAAAAAAAA